ACCCTCAGCTGGGACACGCCCCCGGCGGTGGCAGCCCGCATTTTGATATGCGCTGGCCTCTGCCTAGCTCTTACCTCGTGCCTGTTGCACATCCCTTGCTGGCCCCCGCTGGGCGCCACCCGCGATTGTTGGAGCAGGGGCGTCCGCCCCCGTGTGCACTCCCCGCTCTGTTGGCCGCCTGATTTCATTCCGACCCCGCGTGTAGCGTAGCTGGCTGCCCCGCAGCGCGCCGTTGGGAGATTATCAGCAGGTGCTGGGAGACAAGGGGTGTCCCTCCAGTGTCCTCAACTCTGCTGAGGGCAGCCCCTGCAGCAGCGCGTTCGGCCGCCGCCCGCCCCCGCGGTGCCATCACCTGAGGGCTGCCTCTCTGCCATGGTTGTCAGCCCCGCCGTTCCTCTGGACCGCAATAGCAGCCTGGGCGTCAAGGGAACTTTACAGTGGCGGCAGGCGGACCAGAGGCGGCCCACGCGGAAAGGGGGTAGCATGGGACGCCAGCAGAGGGCAGGCACAGACTTGGGGCACACGCTGTGCCGCCGCCGCCTGGGCCCGTCCCTGGGCCCCGCCGCCAGCGGCTCTCAGGCGCTGCCACCCAGCGGCGCTCGAATCCTCTCAAAGCCACTCTAACTCTGAAGGGACAAGCAAGCACTCATGCAGGCCTCAGTGCAGCCTGCTGAGCTCCTCCACAAGCTGCGTCACGCTCTCCACCGTTGCGCCGCCGCCCGCCATGGCGGCGATCACCGCCTCGGCGCTGTCCCGCCTGCAGCAGCGCCACAGGGGGGAGCCGCGCCGTGAGCAGGAGACAGGGTTGGGTGGTCGGCGAGGGCATGAGGGCAGGCGGTGCTGGGGAGCTTGGTGCAAACACGTGCAAGGCTCGCAAGGGAGGGGGAGGCCGCCATCCTCCCACGCCTCCCACACCGCCCAGCACAAGTTTAGTGAGTGATTGATAACAGAATTGATGACTGAATAATGCTGACAGCAGCTCACTTGAGGTCCAGAAACTGCTCGATCAGGTCGCCATCCACAAACTGGCGGGCGGGGGTGGCGGGCATGTGCTGGTTGCTGAAGGCGCGCCACTGCACGGCAGGGAGGCAGGTCGGCGGGGGCAGGGAAAGGGCGGGTCGGTGGGACAGGGGCAGGCCAATCTGCTACTAACCCCAGTAGAAAGGTGCTAGATAAAAAACACACCCTGGCCGTGTACATGCTATCTGCCGCTACATGGGCCGCCCATCGTGGCAGCAGCAGCGGCAGCAGCCACACATGCAAGCCACGAGGCATGTGTGAGTTGCGTGCTGTCGAGTGGCGCGGTAGGCAGCAGGTCGGGTGGTGCAAGGGGCACAGGGCTGTGGCCAGCCAGCACAACCCCCGCCTTTCTTCCCGCCGCACCTGGGCGTGGTCGAAGCCGCCCACTCCCTTCACCACCTTCCGCATAGCTTCCTGCAGCGACTCCAGCAGCTGGTACTGCGCATGCGGCAGGCTGGCCACCACCCCGATCACGCCATTGATGGTGCCAAACAGCACGGTGGGGATCTGCGACAGCTCTGCAGCAGCAGCGACACAACAATGGCGGCCAATTCGGGGCAGGGGGCGGAGGCTTGCAGGAAGGCAACGCACCATGCGCACGCGCAGCTGCCCTCTTCCTCACCCCCGCCCTTCAGCAGGACCCCACCTGAGTCTGGCAGCCGCATGACCAGAGACCCCGGCTGGAAGCGGTTGACAAACTCGCCCAGGTGGTACCGCCCCACCGTCTGCGGTGCAAGTTGCGGTACCGATGGAGATTGCAACACAAACCAGACGGCAAAGGGGGAGCCGCCAGCAAGGTCCCCGGCAGCGTCCGCGCTTCCCCAATCTGTGGCGCGGCCCCTGCTCCACACACAAATCAAGCGCACAGCCCCGCCACCACCACGGCCCGCCCGCCCGCCCACCCACCTCCAGCCGGCTGCGCTCCTCGTCGGTGGCTGCGTCTGCGTTGCGCCTCACCGTGAACAGGTTGTAGCTGTTCTCGGCGCCTGCAGGAAAGCAGGGGACGGCGCAGGTGCGGGAGATGAGGCATGTGTCGGCCGCCGAGCCACCCCACTGCACCACGCCACACCTCATCACATACATTGATGGAACTAAACGCGTGTCGACCTAAACACACACAAACCCCACACCCCTCACAGAGGCCCCACAACACAATAAAACACGCCATGCCACGCCACCCACCCATATACGTGTCGTCATCCAGGACGGTGACGGCGCTCATCCAGTTGGGGTGGAAGTCCCGCGCCCGCAGCTCCAGCGCCCCCTCCTCCTCCCCCCACGCCAGCAGCTGGATGCTCTTCATCAGGTCGCCTGCAGGGCAGGGAGTTGGGGTGGAGGGTGAGGTGTGTGTGTGAGGTGTGTGGGCGAGGCGGGCAATAGGGAGAGGAAGGCGGAGAAGAGAAGCAGCCAGGGGGGTGGGCCGATGGGTCAGGGGCCCCAGACCCAGCCCTGCAGCCTGCCTGCCTTCACCCCTGCCTGCCCCTCCCATCGCTGCGTGCACCCTGCCTCGCACACCCAGCCCCACACCCACAAAGCAAAGGCACGCCAGCAGCACGCACCCACAACCACCAGGTCGCCACGAGTGGCGAGGTAGAGCGCCAGCACGTGGCCTGCGTGGCTGCACTCCGGCACCAGCGCCCGCCCGCCTTCGCCCTGCTCCAGCCACCTGCCGCGAGCGGGCGAGGGAGGCAGACAAAGGAGGGGCAGGCACACAGCATGCTGCTCAGCTGGTGCGCACCCATGTGTGTGTGTGTGTGTGTGGCAGGCTGAGCGGCTCCCTGACAGCAAGACCGCGTTGCCCCAGCAGCTGCCGCCCTGCCAACCACCCACACGTGCACGGCGCACCGCATGGCACCACCACGCCCCGCCGCCGACACAAAAGTCACACGAAGACAAAGGGGGGCACCATCGCCGCACACTGGGCGCACCGCAAGGCACACCAGCCAGCCGCCGCCGCTCCTGCCGGGGCCCCGCTCACTTGTACATCTGCACCCGGCTGTTGATGCCCGCCAGCAGCCGTCCCTGGAACTCCGCCAGCGAGTACACCGCGCCTCGCGTCTCCTTCTCACACACCACGCACAGCTTGCCGCCAGCCGCCGCCAGCACAAAAATGCGGCCCTGGGGAGGGAGGCAGGGGTAGGGGCGCAGAGTGAGGGCCGCGGCGGTGAGGCTCTGGCGGGCACAGAGGGGGCACCGGCAGCTCCGCGGCGCCGCACGGGGATGCAGATTCGGCGGCGGCGCGGGGCCGGCTGCCTGGCGACTAACCTGCCCACCCGCCTGCCAACCCGGCGCAGGGGAGCAGAGGAGGCGAGCAGAGGGGCAGGGAGAGGCAGCAGGCTGGCGCACCTTGGTGGGTTCAGGCTCGTTGGGCGGCGCGAAGGCTGTGCCCACCACATAGTATGTGGCTGGGTCATCGCCCAGCTGTGTGCTGCACAGGGAGCAGGCCAGCTCATGCTGCTGCAGCTGCAGCCGGTCCAGCAGCTCGAAGGTCTGCTCATCCACCAGCCGCACGCTGTCGCCCCCCTCTGTAGCGGCACGCAGCGGCGGCGCAGAAATTGGGGGGCGGCAGTTGAGCGGCGCCGTTTGCCGCCATGCGGCAGCGGCAGCAGCAGGCGGGGCAGTGCAGGCCGAACATGGAGCAGCGGCCAATTGCTGCTGCATGCGGCATGCAGCAGAGAGCGGTGGCCTGGTTGAAACGCTGCAGATTGCCACACATGTGGCGGCGGCACTGCAGGGCGGGCCGGTGGCACTGGCAGGCTGAGCAGCTCACCGCCGCTGATGGTGGCCTGGGTGCAGGTGACAGCAAAGGTGCGGCTCGTCTCCTGGTGGGCGATGCGCCGCGGCTGCTCGCCCAGCGGTACCGTGCGCACGTGCAGCTTCTGCGGGCACCGGTAGCCGGGTATGTGTGGGGGGGTAAAGCAGCAGGAGGGTACAGGGCACGATGCAAGGAGCAGGCAGCTGCTATGGTGCACACACAGAGCGACCTCTCTCCACCCACGCCACCGGCCCATGCCCATTCCTCCCGAACTCGCGCTCTCCCTCCTCCCTGTGCCACCCCCACGCTGCACAGCCTCCCAAGCCCAAGCCCCTCCGCATAGGCTGCCCGCACAGGCTGCCCGCAAAGGCTGCCCGCACAGGCTGCGCACACACACAGGCTGCCCACACAGGCTGCCCACACAGGCTGCCCACACACACAGGCTGCCCACCTGGATCTCGTCGATGGTCCCGATCAGCAGCGCCTCCTGCTTGCCCAGCGCCAGGCTGTCTGGGAAGGCGGCTGTGTTGAAGGAGGTCATGTGGCTCACCTGCGGGCAGAAACTCCAGGGCTGGCGGTGGGCGCACACTTATAAGTTTCTCAAGCAGAAACTGAGTTTCCCCGCCCGCCAGGGACCTGCCACCAACTCAGGGCTGGCGGTCTGGCCCGCCTGCCGCCGCCAAGCTCCTGCTACCACCGTGATCCGATGCCCCCTTGCTCCGTCCCTCGCAGGCAGGCCAGACCTGCCTCGTGCTGTGGCTGCACCCGCCTGCCGACGCCTCACGCCTCACTCCTCACCCCCAGCCGGCCCCGCCCCAAGCAGCCAGCCAGCCACACCTCGTTCTCATTCAGGTTGGAGTACAGGAGCTTGCGGTTGGAGGAATAGATGACGGTGGGCCGGTCGCTGGCGGCAAACACGGCGGCGGCGCCGCGGCTCCTGCGGGGCAGGGAGGGAGGTGCACGAAGAGGGTGAGCGGGCGAGCGAGCGGCATGGCTCGGTGTCTCGGGAGGGCGAGGTAAGGGGCTGTCCCCGCCAGCCAGCTCTTGCGGGAGCCGCCGCAAACCCCTCGCTGCAGCTTCCCCAACCGCCGCAGCAGCAGTACACCCCGACCGACCTGAAGGTACGGAGCGAGATGGGCTTGGTGCCCAGCGCAATCTTTTTGCGGTCGGTGGGGCCATCGGCGTCCAGCCTGCATGCCGGGGAGCCAGGCAGGCACGGTGGCAACCCAGCCGCAAGCGGTGGAGGAGCTCGGCCAGCGGCAAACATGCCTGCAAGCCTTGCCTACACAGGCCCGCACGCCGGGCTGACGAGGGGCCCACCTCTCCCTCGCCGACCTCCGCTTCGCCGGCCGGCCCTCGACCCAAACCTCGCTCACGCCCGCCCCCCAGCCGCAGCACGCCACCACCCCCAGCCCTGCAGGCGAGCCTCACCGGTAGTTGACGAGCTGGCCGTCCCCCAGCCCATACATCAGATAGGTGTCTCCTTCGAACTGGGCAAACAAGGTGCTGCGGGGGATGACGTCGGTGGGCAGCTTCTCGCGGAACAGGGGCGCCAGGGAGGGCAGGGCGAAGATGTGGGCCTCCAAGGCCCAGCTGCCCACCGCCACCACCTCGCTGGCCTCGCTGCTGGCGCCTGCGCGACGGGAAGAAAGCGCGGGGCGGGACGGGGCGGGGCGCGAGGCAGGTGGCAGGGTGGGCGTGTGGTGCGAGCGTTGCACGGGCAGGGCCAGACGCGATGCAAGCAAGGTGTCATCCAACACGGTGTGTGGAGCACGGCATTCAAAATGGTGCCACCTGGGCGCCACCTCAGCGCCGCCGCCGCCACCTCGGCGTCGCCGCCACCTCAGCGCCGCCACCTCAGCTCACCCACGGGCGTGATGTCCAGGCAGGCTATGTCTGCATCCAGCTGCACCCGCCCCTTCTCCTCTATCTGGCCATCCCCAAGCTCCAGGTACACGAGCGTGCGCCCGCCCACAGCCGCCACCAGCTGCAGCAGGCAGCAGGGACGGCGGGGACAGCAGCAGGCGGACGTTTTCGGAAGTGCACGCTGTTGGCGGCGGCGCCTGCTCCTGCCTCATGACCCAGCAGGTATCAACGAGCAATGCATCACACACACAGGCATGGGGAGGAGTTTAGGGCAGGGAGCGCGACGGGAGAAGGGCGGATGGCAAGGCGCGGCGAGAGCAGGCATGGGCGGCAGCCGGCGCGCACCTGCGTGGGGCTGGCGGCGGCGATGGTGATGCGTCCGTCGGCGCCCGGCTCCCACTGCGTGACCAGCTGCTGCGTCATGCAGTCCACCAGGCGAAACGCCGTGGCCGTGACTTGGAGCAGCTGGTCGTGCACCGTATTGGCGCAGCACAGCGTCTGCAGGGCAGAGGTGGCAGGGCGGCCATGGGCAGGCAGGCAAGGTGCGGTGGTGGCAGAGGGTGGACGGGCGGGGGAAGCAGGCAGGGGCAGCGGCGGAGGTGGGAGGGGAGCAGAGCCAGGTGCACGGTTATGGAAGTGCATGGGAGGATGCTGGGATGTGGGGAGTCGACAGGCCACAGGATAGAGCAGGGCGAGCACGCCGGTGCGCAGCCCTGGCCCTCCCTCTGCTTCCGCCACCATTGAAGCATGCGCTGCTGTTGGTTAGGGCAGGGAAACAGAACCTTGGTACCAAACCAAACAGAAAACTCACCAGGGCTGTGCTGTTGAAGCCCGGGATCTCAGCCTCATCCAGCTCATCCTCTGCCAGGCGGGCACAACAGGGCACAGCGGGGCACAGCAGGCTCAGCAGGCACAGGCGCGTCGGGCAAGCCGACACGCCACTCCGCGCGGGGCCAGACGCTTGCACAGCCAGAAGGTGCCGAGCTGTGCTGCCACAATCCACGCACGCTGGCCATCCCCACGCCCGCCCCTGCCCCGCCCAAACAGATCCCAAGACTGCCAAAGGTCGTATCGTTCATGGGCAGCCCACGCCCCACACCTGCATTCATGCCCAGCACGCGGGTCTCTCCGGAAAAGGTGAGCACCAGGTATGTGTCGTGCGCGTCCATGAAAGTCCTGCAGCAGGACAGGCAACACGGGAGGAAAGGGGCACAGGGCCAGGCCAGGCGAGTCGATGAGGGTCCACCAGGGGAGAGGCGCTGCCACGGGGAAAGGCAAGGGGGCGTGAGGCTGGCTGGGCAGGGCACAGGTGGGGGTTGGTGTGGCACTCCTGCCTGGGGTGCAGCTGTCAACTATTAGGGCAGGCGCAGCATGTGCAGGCAGGCGCCACGAGATGGTTTGGCACGCGGCAGGCAGGCGGGCCACGGCAGGCAGCAGGTGGCGGGCGGGCGGGCGCGGCGCCGCACTTGCGCAGGCTCCAAAGGTCCTTGATGCCGGGAAGCTCCACGAGCGCCTGCTCCACCACGCCGATGCCGTTGCGCACGATGCGCAGGCTGCCGTCCACGCCCGTGCCCGAGCAGGTGACCACCTGCGATGCGAGCGGCGGCAGGGCGGGGCGTGGTGGGGTGAAGCTGCCGGGCTGCAAGCACGGCAGCGACCTGGCGAGCTCCCACCGCCGACTCGTCCCTGGCGCCCCACCCGGCTCTGGGCCGGCCGCCAAACTCTCACCCACACCCACCACCAATGCACACGCATGCCATGCCGCAGACTCTACCACCCAAGCCAACAGACCCAACACAGAGTGGACACCACACCGCTCCGCCCTGCCCTCCGCCGTACCGCAGCTCCCAGCGTGCGCCCACTCCGCTGCCCCTCCCAACCCTCATCGTCCACCGGAACACAAAGCCTCCAGCAGCCACTGCTAAACAAGCAATCCCAGCAACCCCCACCCGGCCCTGCAAAACTAGCACCCCTAGCCGCCCCCACCCGGCCCTGCCAAACTGGCAGCCCTAGCAGCCGCCCACCCGGCCCTGCAAAACTAGCAGCCCTAGCAGCCCCCGCCCAGCCCTGCAACCCCAGCAGCCCTAGCGGCCGCCCACCTGGCCCTGCCCCTGCCGCTCCAGGTCCACCACTGCAAAGTCCACGATGGGCCCCAGGTTGGGCTGGCTGTCCAGAACCTCCACAAAGCTGGTGGGCTGGGAGGGGTCGGGAGGCGAGGAGTGCAGCCTGCGGAGTGGAGGAAAGCGCGGCAGGTGGAGGAAAGCGCGGCAGGTGGAGGAACGCGCGGCAGGTGGAGGGCGCGGAGCTGGGCGCGCGATGGCCCGAATCACGGCACGGCGCAGGCGCTGCACCGCCCACGGCGCCGCAGGACTCGACTCTCCAGCTGTGCGCCGCTCATGACAGCCACAGCGCAGCTCCTGGCAGCTCCCCCCCGCATTGATTGACCGCCTCCCTCCCTCCTTCCCTGCCTAGCCCCACCGTATCAGTTGTGAGTCTCCAAAGCTGCTGCCCACAAACACCACCCCGCTGTCGAGGTAGGCGATGGTGGAGGCGGCGGGGGTGCGGCCCAGCGGCTCAAGCTTGAGGCCCGCCACGGCGCCGGCGCCGGCGCCGCTGCTGCTGGACGCGCCCGCGGCGCCCTCCTCGCGCAGCAGCAGCAGCAGATACAGGTTGCCCAGGAAGTCGGAGAGCAGGAAGCGGGAGCCGTCGTCGTCCACCTGGCCATACGCCTGCGAGCGGTACATGCGGTACATGCAGTGCAACAGGGGGAGTACAGGTGAGGGACGCAGGGGTACAGTACGCACAGGCAGCAGAGGGCCCACTGCCACGAGAGGTGTGCCTAGCGTGCGGTGGTGGGAGGGGCGTCTGGGCCAGCCAGCCAGCCAGCTACGGAGGGATGCTGGGTAGCCGCAGGCGGCTCAAGCAGGGGCGGACACGGGAGCAGCGCGCAGGCAAGGTGCAGGCAGGGGGCGGCAGGCGGGGCGTGCCTTGACCAGCGTGGGCTTGATGGCGGCAGACCGGACCACGCCCGGCGCGATGAACGTCACCACGCTCTCGCCCACCACCATCGCGCCGCCGCTGGCGGGCACGGGTATCAGCATGGAGGCGCCGGCATCCAGGTTGGACTGCTGCCAGGGCCCCTCCACAAGCTCCTGGCAGGCGGAAGCAGGGCGGAGCCGGCAGGATGGGGTTTCAGCGCATGGGCTGTATCCGGCAGCGATCAAGGCAGGGTGTTGGCAGGCAGGCCGGATGGAGCAAACGGCCGGCAGCGGCAGCTTCCAGGCTTGAACACCCGAACGCCACTGCACGGCGGCGGCCTACTGCACAGCGGCCGCAGCACCGGCGGTGCCGCTGCTGCGCTGTGCTCTGTACTGCCCTGCTGTACTGCAGCCATCCCGCACCTTTTCCCGCAGGCTGACTTCATACGTCTTCACGTGCCGCTGCTCCTTGGTATCTTCATACAGTACCGCGATGGTGGGCGCCGCGCAGCCGTCTGCGCGGGGCGATGAGGGCAGCGCGCGCGCAGCGGGGCAGCAGCACAGCAGGGCAGAAGGGTGAGGGAGGCAGCCCTCTGGCGTGTGGGGCAGCCACGGCAGGCAGGCAAGGGGCACGGTGGGCTGCAGGGCAACGGGAAGGGAGCTACCAGCTGCCAGCCGCGCCGTTGCTCGCCGGCCCAGCACACGCAAACTGCGCCACCCGCCAGCCCAGCTGCCGGCCGCCCAGGCGGGACGACTGCCCAGCCGCACGACGCACCCCAACCCGGCCGCCCTGGGATGGCACCAGCCGCCTGCCACACGCACACGCAAGCCCACCCACCAGCCCATCTGAAGCCAGCCCCGCCCTACCCGGCACCCACCCAGGAAGGCGATGTCAACCACTTTGAGCTCATCCAGGCGCATGTTGAAGGCCTCTTGCAGCCCGCCCCGCTCATCCATGGGGATGACCTGCAGGCAGATGGCGGGGGTGGGATGGGGCGGGACGGTGGGCAAAGAGGGAGGGAGGGAGGTAAGGGAGGAGACCGAGGGTGTAGACCCAGCCTCAGCCACAAGCGGCGGGAGCTCTTCGCCGGCCCAGGCCTGCCCCCCCCGAGGCTCCTGCCAGCACCTCGCCTGCCGGATGCCGGGCCCCAGCCATCCCCAGACCCCAGCCGCCCCCCACGGTCTCCCTGCCCTCGCCAGGCCTCGCCAGCTGTCTGTCCCCCTGCTGTCCAGCAGCGCTCGCTGCTCCCCCTCCTGCCGCCCCCCACCTTGAACAGGCCGTCGTAGAGGTGCAGGCCGATGAGGCGGCACTGCGGGTCCACGATGCCGCGTTGCCCCAGCTCCACCTGCCGCCCCACACGGTCGGAGGCATCGCCGTTGGCCCGCGTCACCAGCTCGCCTGCACGCCCGGCAGCCAGCAGCAGGGAGGCCGGGTGAAGCAGCAGGAGCGGCGGCGGCGGCGGTGGCGGCGGCGGAGCTGGCTTGGCTTGGCTAGCTGGCGCTGGCCCACCATCCGTGCAATCCTGCTGCGCCCCAGCCGGCAGCAGCCCACCGCCGCGCACCCTGCCATCAAACACGAACCAACACAAGCGACACCAGACGCATGCAGCCCAGCAGCACGCGGCGAGCACCGCCCTCCTCCCATCACCAAATGCAAATGCAACGCAACGCGACGCGAAGGAGGTCGGCAGCAGCACGCACCGCTCTCCTCGTCGAATCCCAGCACACAAAACTTGTTTCGCTCGGTCAGCAGCAGCAGCAGGTCACGAGGCTCAGAGGCGGGACGGAACAGCTGCAGCGCCGCCACCCGGCCGTACAGCGGCACGTCCAGCACCCCCTGAAGCCCCTCGGCCGTCAGCCGGTGCACCTCCAGCTGCGTGCTCTTGCTGCGGGGAGCGAGGGAGGCGGGCGGGGCGACGCGGGCCTGGTGGGCAGCAGGGCGGAGGTGCCGCCGGGCGGCCGCGCCAGAGGGAGAAGGCAGCAGGCAGGCGTGGCAACCCGGGGCATGGGCCCAAGACTTCCATCCAGCAGCGGCCCAGGGGGAGATGCCCATGGCAGATGGGCATACATGTATCTGCCAGGCAGGCGGGCAGGCAGGCAGGCAGGCGGGCAGGCAGGCAGGCAGGCAGGCAGGCAGGCAGGCGGGCGGGCGGCGACCAGCGGGCGACTCACGAGATGACGAGGTTGAGGTCGCTGGCGGCGGTGAAGTGGCCCACCGCGCTGTGCTGCACCGAGGTGGGCTTGTGGGCCGACACCACATAGTTGTACTGGCACCCCTCCTGCGGTACAGGTGGGCGCTTGGGGAAGTAGTCAGCCTGTGTAGTGTGTAGTCCTGCGGGAGGCTGGACGTCAGCGGCGGCGGCGGCGGCGGGCCGGGCCGCCCGGGGCTCCTCTCTCACCTGCCCTATCTCCAGCACCATGGCGCCACGCTGCACCCCTCAGGCCGTTGTTGCAGCGGGCTGCCTGGCGGCAGCAGCGGCGCAGGGGCACACGATCGATGTGCGAGGCAGGGAGGGGCAGCAGGGCCCCGCGTTGCTCCCAGCACACCCGATCAGCAATGCCTTGCGCCAATGAATGGCTGAATTGGCTGGAGTTTTGCCCTCAGCACTGCTATCGGGGTGTCGCGGGCAGGGTTCCCTGGAAGGTGCGCCGATCAATTCGGGTGCAACTACCGATGGACAGGCGCTGCAAGGAGAGAACTGCGATGACAGGCTGGCGGGGTCGCGTGGCAGGAGTGTCGGCAAGCATGGAAAGGCTCCCTTTAAGCCACATTGCCCAGCTCCGATACCACAATTGCCGAGATCATCGTGTATGCAAAGCTTGGAGCAGCCATGCTGGTAACTTGGCCACTTTGCATGAGATTGGCGGTGAGCCAGCCGCGGGGGCTGCTGCCAGAGGTTGCCGCAGGGCTGGCCAGCGCGCAGTGGATGCCGGCGGGCCGGGTGGGGCAAGGGGCATGGCCGAGGGAGGGGGGGGCGGTGTGCAGCGGCGGCCCACGTCCCGCTGTACAATTCCGCAATACAGCCCAGCCTCCCATCCACCCCTGCCGCTGGCCTGCAGGCTTGACTGCGTAGCACAATGGCCATCTTCGACGTCAAAGTCGTCATTGTGGGCGATGCAGGCTGTGGTGAGCGGGCCCCACTTGCCGCCCACCGCTCCTGCGGTCGACTCGCCGGCTGCCGCTCGCGGGCCGAGGCCGGCTGCAGTCAGGCACACTCACTCCCACACACACATGTCCACTGCTGCTGCACAAGCTTGCCTGCATCTTGCTAGCTGCTGGCCAGTCCCACGCCGGGGCCCCCATGCTCACCGCCACCTCCTGCCCCTGCTCCCACCCTGCTCCCGTGCCGCAGGCAAGAGCAGCCTGCTGCAGCGCCTGCTGACGGGGCGGTTCCAGCGAGACTTGAACCCCACCTATGCCCCGGAATTCGGAGCCAAGAAGGTGGGGAGTGGTGGTGGTGGTGTGTGTGTGTGTGTGTGTGGCGAGGGCAACAGCGCATCGCTGCCGGTCGTCCCCAATTCTGCACCAAGGTTGCTGGCTGCTGCCGCAGCGCCACCGCCCCCCAACCGCTGCCCCAGCCTGCTGTGATGCGTGCAGATAGAGGTGGAGGTGGCGGCCTGTGACAAGGCGGGCAGCAGGGCCGGCAGCACGTGTAGCGGGGCCAACAGCGGCGGCGGCGGTGGGCAGGATACCGGGGCCGTCGCAAGCCGCCGTGTTACCTGCGGCATCTGGGATACCTCCGGCTCCTCCCGCTTCCATTCTGTCAGCCGCAGGTGCAAAGCTGCCTGGCCCCTCCCTGCCTGGCTGGTGTAGCAGGCACAGCAGGCCTGCGTCGGGTGCTGCATGTGGTGCCGTTCCTTGCACTGCTTGCCCTTGCGCTGCGCCGCTGCCCTGACATTGGGCACTCCCACAAGCCCTGCCCGCCCTTCCTACGGCCCCGCCTGCCTGTGCCTGCCCCTGCCCGACGGCCTCCCAGGTTCGTCAATGGCGCCGATGCGGTGCTGGTGTGTTGGGACCCGTCAAGCAGGCAGAGCTGGGACAGGCTGCGGGCGTGGGTGAGCTGAGTCTAGGCGCCGCCGCCGCTGCCGGCTGCCGCGTACTGCCGCATACTGCCCCAGTGCTGGCAGTCGCAGGGCTCCTCAAAGCCTGCCTCGTGGATACCACTAGTCGTGCTGGCCCCCGGCGGGCCCCGGTGCCTGCATGCCAAGCCTCCATGGCCCGCCGCCACAGCTTGCCTCCCTCACACGAGCCCCCTGTCCCGCTCCTCCGCTGCCCCAACCCGCCCCTGCCCCCTCAGGTAGGAGACGCCCGGGCTCAAGAGCCAGCGGCGCTCATCTACCTGTGCGCCTGCAAGAGCGACCTGCTGGCGCCAGCTCAGCGCGTGCCAGCTCAGCAGGCGGCGGCCGCCGAGCCGGCACTGGAGGTGGAGGTGGAGCGGGTGAACGGCGGCGGCGGCGCGGCCCCGATCTCGCCCTGGCTCTGGCTGCAGCAGCAGCAGCAGCAGCAGGCGCAGCAGCAGCAGCAGCAGCAGGCGCAGCAGCAGCAGGCGCAGCAGCAGGCGCAGCAGCAGCAGCAGCAGCAGCAGGCGCAGCCGCAGCCGCGGGCAGAGCCGCAGGTCGCGGCGGCGGGCTGGAAGTCTCCCGCGCGCGGCGCCGGCGGCAGGCGGTCCCTGGATGCACCCACCACCCCTCTGAAGGCCGACCGGCAGTCGCCGTCGGGCAGCCAGGGCACGCCGGGGTCGCCGGTGCCAGCCACGGCGGCGGGGCGGAAAGTGGCGGCGGAGCACGCGCGGGCGGCGGCGGCCGAGGTGGTCGCCAGTCTGACGGGGCAGGCGGTGCCCTCGCCGTTTGCGGCCGCAGCACAGCCGCCGGCCGGCAGCGGGGCCTGGTTGCCTGGCCAGCGCCCCGGCAGCGGCGCCTCGCACGCCTCTGCATCCCCAAGCGGCGGCGGCGGCGGCGCCTCCCCGGAGGGTTGGCAGGCGGCGAGCTCCGGCGCCTCCCACCAGCGTGCCTCTAAGCCGGGATCGCGGCAGCAGGAGCAGCGGCGGCAGCAGCAGGAGCGGCAGCGCGGCGCCTCGCCCGAGGCAGGCGGCAGCCCGGCAGCTGGTGGGCGGCGGGTGGGCACGCCCCGCCGCCGCCCGCGCGTGCGCCTGCAGCAGGAGAGCGACGGCGAGGGCGAGGAGGAGGAGGAGGCGGCGCCGCCGCTGCAGCAGGCTGCGGTACCGCAGGCTGCCATCCAGCACTACTGCCGCACGGAGGGCCTCCCTCTGGTGTGGGTGTCGTCGCGCACAGGTGGGCTGAGGGCTGTGACTTTAGGTTTGGGGTAATGGGTATGCGGCCAGGCGCTGCTGGCCTCGCCTCCACCAGGCTGCGCCGCTGCGGCAGTCAGCTGCAGCTGGCCGGCCGCAGCGCAGCGCACCCTAGTGCAGCGCAGCGCGCCGGCCTGGTGGCGTTGCAGGCGGGGCAGCGCCCTTGGCTGACTGCTCACGATTCAGGACCCGGCCCTGTGCCTGGCGCCTGCAGGCGAGGGGGTGGTGGAAGCCTTCCGCACCATTGCCCATGAGGCGGTGAGCCAGCAGCAGCGCCGCGGCGCGCAGGAGCGGGGCCTTCTGCAGCAGGGCGGGCGCTGGCCGGCGCTGCGGAGCCGCTCGCGGCAGGGGCACGAGGGCGAGCGCCCGGGCGCGCCTGCAGCCAGCCGGCCAGCCTCCCGCAGCCCCTCGCTGCCGCCCCAGCAGCGGCCGCAGGCCGGAGGGCAGGCCCCGCGGCCGCAGTCAGCCGGCAGCAGCAGCCGGCGCGTGGGCGCAGCGGGAGGGGGCGAGGGCGCGGGGCGGCGCAGCGGCAGCCGGAGTGCCTCGCACCTGCCTCGCACCGCTGCCGGCGGCAGCAGGGGCGGCAGCAGGGCCGGCAGCACGGCTGGCAGCACAGGCCTAGGGCTGCAGCAGCAGCAGCACGAGTATGTTCTTGGCACCTCCCAGTTTGAGGCCGGGCGGCGGAGAGGGCCCGAGGAGAAGTCTTGCTGCATCAGCTGAGCTGGCACCCAGCCCGCGACGTGCTTAACGTGCTGTGGCGGGGGAGCCTCGACTGAGTTGGCGGCTGGTTAGGCAGGTAACCTCCTGTACCGCTCATACACCCCCCCCGCGGAGCATGCCTGCATGCACCAGCTTGTATGCGCCATCTGCTTTTTGTTCGTGCCCGCTCCCTTCACAGGTCTGCATTCCCTGCACTGTATAGCCGACGATATGTAAGCAAGTATCTATGATCTAGATCATAAGGTTAGCAAGCAGCCAGGTCACCAAAAGCAGCAGCCACAGCCACATCAGGCATCCCGGTTGCCGAATGAGACATCCCAGTTGCAGCGCCGGTACCCAGCAGGCAGCAGAGCAGGCTGGCAGTCAGCGAGGCATCCCAGTCGCCTCATGCAGCATCCCGGTTGCCGAATGAGGCATCCTAGTTGCAGCGCCGGTACCCAGCAGGCAGCAGAGAAGGCTGACCATCACGGCCTCTTGCCAGGTCACGGGGCACCGCCACAGGAGGAAGCCGACTCTGCACCTGTTTGCCTGCCCTATCCCGGCCTGGCTTCTGATCCTTTTGTTACAGACACATGAACTCGATTAAAGTACAAGAACAGGGCTCCTCTCAAGACAGCGTCCTCGCACGTGTGGGCACGTGTGGGGCCGTTCCCACCAAGGCTGCTAAAGGTGCTGGGCGCGCCTTCACTCCAAAATATCCTCCTGCACCAAGGGTAGGGCGGGGCCAAGGGGACTCGAGCCAGTCATCTGCACGGCGGCGCCACAAGCATCCCACACTTCCCCCGCAAGTTGGCCACGCCCGCCGGCTGCTGCCCCAGCTGCTACCCCAGCCGCTGCCCCGCCCGGCACCCGGCCAACCCACCACACGCGCACTGGAGCCAGCCGTGAGCGCACACCAGCCAGTGCGCCCTGCACCAATGCACGCACCTGCGTGATGGTGGAGTGCTGCTGCTCGTCCTTGGTGATTCGCCACATGAACTCCGCGTGCTCGCGGGTGCCAATCAGCCGCGCAAACTGCGGTGGCGGCGGCGGCGGCGGCGCGGGTGGCGTCAAGGGAGGCAGGAGAAGGGAAGCAGCGGGGCATGGGCATGCGGCAGGGAGCGCCTCTGATGCAGCACCAGCCCCAGCACCACCCCACCCCGCCCATCCACAGGGTGCACACGAATAGAACATGGCCCACCTGCTCGTCATGCGTGATCACTACTAGCTGGAAGTTCTCCTGCAGCAGACCACAGCAGGCACAGCAGGCTCGGCGTGAGCCGGGGGCGGGCGGGCGGACCCTGCCTTCCGCAGCTGGAGCCGTCACGCCCGCCGCACCGCCAGCGAGTTTTCCCTCCATGCCAGTTGGCTGCCCCTGCCAGCGAGCCAGTGAGCGGGCACGCAAGCAAAATGGCCCCCAGAGCAGCAGCAGGGAGGAGGCCTTGCCTGGTCCCTGCGAGCCAGCATGATGGAGCGGAGCGCCTCCGCCAGGCTGGCGCTGTTGTCTGCACAGGCGCGGGCGGGCGGTCGGGGCGCGGAGGGATGCTCAGAACGGTGCGATGCTGCGCAGGCAGGCAGCCATGGCAGCGCCGTGCAGCAGGGCAGGGGCGGGCCCGGGGCTTCTCAGGGGCGAAGCGATGCGGCATCCTGGCTGGCTCCGCTGCTCAGTCTGCTGTCGCCCACTGCCCTGCCTACGCCGGCACGCGTCTCCACCGCCCCACCTCCCCGCCTCCCGTGTGCCACCCAGCCCCGCCCTGCCCCTGCCCCTGCGCCACCCACCAGCATCCAGGTTGGTGGTGGGCTCGTCCAGCGCCAGGATGCCGCAGTTGAGGCAGAAGGTCTCAGCCAGGGCCAGCCGGATGATGAGGCAGGCCAGCACCTGCAGCGCACCGGCAGCGTCGGCGGCGGCCGTGGAGATGGCACCGAGAAGGTAGGGTCAGCGCAGCAGGCTGGGAGGCACACGGGCACCCGCCCACCACCCCCTTCGCGACACCCAGCACCACGTGCCCTGCACGCACGCGCACACACACAGACGCACAATGCACACGCACGCACGCGCGCGCGCACACACACACACACAGACATGCACGGACACATGCAACACACAAACACAGGCACCCACCCACCCACCCACACCCACACACGCCCGCACCTTCTGCCCCGCCGAGCAGCGGCCGCGCATGTCGAGCTCCGCGCCGCCGGTGTGCATCACAACCCGGTAGTTGTAGGAGCGCCCCGCTGCGCCCTCCTGGTCCGCCTTGATCTGCGAGGCGGGTGTGGGGGACGCGGGGGATTAGAAGAGGGAGCAAAGAGCCAGGGAGTGGGTGGGTGGGACATGGGGTGTGGGGTGGTGGATTGGGGTGCGCGTGGTGGTGGGGCAGCAGGCCGCAGCAAGCAGCCCCGGCAGATGAAGCGAGCGGCCGGCATTGCGCATTTGCAGACCCCGTTTGTGTCTATGAGTCGCGCTGCTGTCATGACCACCAGCACCAGCACCGATAATGCTGGGAAAACAGCAGGCTACTCTCTAGCCCTACCCTGGATGTAGTCGATGTCTGAGTGCGCACAGCCACCACCACCACCACCACCCTGCCCGTCCCCAAGCAGCCACCAGCCACCTCCACCCCCACCTGTATATAGTCGATGTCTGAGTTGCGGTACGTCTTCTGCCACAGCTCCTTCACGATTGTGTTGATGTCTGCCATCTTAGAGGTGTGGAAGGAGAGCAGCGCCTTCTCCAGGGCCTGCCGGCGGGGGGACAAGGGGTGGTTGGGAGTCGGCCGGCAGGTGTGGGGCCCCAACAGAGCCCGAGCTGCTGCGGCGCTTCCCCAGGTTCGCTACAGCAACACACACACGCGCAGAAAAAAGGAACAGAGGCAGGCCGCCCCCGCACCCAAAAGCAAGGACAAGAGGCGGCCCACCCCTCGCCCACAACGCAGGAACAGAGGCAGGCCACCCCCACCACAACCGCCGCCACAAGGCAGGACAAGGAGCAGGCCCCCCACCCAACCCCACCTTGTGATACTTCTCCAAGTCGCTGTTGGCCATCTCCGTTGTTGTCAGCTCCACCACCCCCAGCTTGAACTTCTCCTCCACGGCGGCGTACTGCGCAACGTCCAGGTCCCGCTGGCAGGCGGCCACCTGCAGCGATGGAAGAGGGCGGGGGGTCGGGCAGGGGACGGGGAAAGGGAGCTTGGGCTGGCACTTCCTTCACTGGCAGCAGCAGCAGCGGCCGGAGCAGCAGCAGCAGGAGGAGGGACAGCAGGAGGAGCAGGAGGAGGAGCAGAAACAGGGAGAGCGGCCCGCGCGGCGGCAGCAGCAGGTCGGGTGAGGCGGCAGGCAGCCGCGGGCCGCGCAGCGCCGCAGCTCGGGGCCTGCAGTCGCCCCGCCGCACCCGGTCCCGGATGGTAGCCAGAGCACCGTGCTTCATGTCTCGATCGGTACGCAGCCTCTGCAGCCGCGCATCCAGCGCCGAGTACTCGCCCTGTATGGCCGCCTTGTCTCCTACCTGCGGGCCGCGGCGGCGTGGGGCTTGCAGCGTGGGACAGGAGTGGGTTTGTTGCATGTGTGGTGGAGGTGGAGGCAAGCAGGTGGGCGAGTAGATGGGGCTGAGGTTGGGGTGACTCTCGTGCTGCCCCAGCCATGAGCCCCGGCCCCAGCGTGCGCAACGCGGCCGGCAGCGCCGCACTCGGCCCTGCGCGGCGTTGAGTTCGTCCAGCCGCCGCTCCAGCTCTGCCTGCGCCACCTTGCTCTCGTGGTACGCGATGAGGTCGTCCACCTAAGTGCGGTACAGGTGGTACACGTGCAGCACACATCAGTACAGGCATGGGGGCAGGGTGCCGGGACTGTGCAAGGCCCTGCCTGCACCACATCATCGACAGCTGTCTTACCCTCCCGGCCAGCCCACCCCACACCGCGGGGCGCATCCCGCAGCCGCAGCCCACCAAAGCAGCCGCTGAAAGGTCAAGCCTCTTTTAGTTGCTGTCCAGCAGGTGGAGCACCGCTGTGCTGTGCACGCTGCGGCGGCCCCGCAGCGCGCCCAGCGCCCCACCTGGCGCTTGGTCTCGTTCTGTGTGGCTTTCATGCTCTCCAGATTGCGCAGCTCCACCTGGAGGGTCTGCAAGTGGTATAGGGCAGTACATGCGGTATGATGCAGTACAACGTGTGCCGATGAGAATGCATGTGTGCGTGTGTGTGCGCGTCACACATGCACGCACACGCCCGTGGCAAGCAGCGGGCGTCAGCAACGAGTGTCCGGGTGTCGAGGACGGGAGGGGCTGGGCCGTGCCAAGGCGCAGGCGGGCCCTCATACACGCACTCTGCTCCTGCCCAGCTCCCTGCGCTGCCTAACAGGCAGGACCAGGTGCGGCCGGTGCTCCGCAGCAGCTGCCGCGCACCTTCAGCTTCTCCTCGCCCGCCTCCTGCCGCTGGTGCAGCGACTCGAGCGCCTCGCTCGTCTTGCGCAGCGCATCGGCCTTGCCCTGCAGGCAGAAGGGCGGAGGGATGGAGGAACAGGGCAGGGCAGGGCAGGGCAGGCGGGCAGGTGGTGGCAGGAGGCAGCTTGCCACCCGCCCTGCGCCTCGCCACTGCCAGGCCGGACACGGCTTCCCCACCCCCCCAGCCTCCAAGTAGTACAACATTGCAGCGGTATATACCAGTATGGCAACAGCGGTACAGCGGTACAGCCTCACCAGCGTCACATACTCCTCTATCGCCCGCTGCTTGGCCGCCAGCTGCGTCTCGCGGGTGTGCATCTCCCGCAGCCGCCCCTCGATCTCAGCCTCCTGTGCCGCCATCTCGTGCCGCTTGGCCTCCCGCTCGCTGCAACAGAAAGGCAGCACGGCGCAAGAAGGCGGGGGCAAGGGGGTCTGGGATAAGGAGTCACCCCATGGTGGGGACACAGCCCAGGGAGAGGGCCGTGGCCGAGTGCCACGGCCAGCCGGGAAACGCCAACCGCGGTACAAGATGCAACACAACGCAGCAGCAGCAGCAGTGCGGCAGCGGAGCGGCAGTCGAACGGCAGG